GAATGGGGAATGGGGAATGGGGAATGGAGAATGGGGAATGGCAGGAGACCTTTACCCGGAGCCTCCATACCAATTGTACCCTTGGGTCAACCCTGTCCCGTATCTTTTCATTTTAGAACTAAGATATGTGGGGGAGCTCTTTAATTTCCCGCAAAAACACGCTGACATTTGCATAACACCCTAAAAAAAATGGCGGGAGGTTGCATGAACTTTCCGCTCTTTTCGCCATTACTGAAATCTTTTCGCGCGGCCTGCATGTGACGTAAACAATAGAGGACTACAGCTTTCTTATGATTGGCTATTATGGAAACGCCCGCGAAAAATCCCGTGGAGTTGCTTCTAAAAATAAAAAGATACGGGAAAGGGTTGACTCACAGGGTAAGTATGGAAGATGGAAGCTCCGAGTAATGGGCTTCTCAGAATGGGGAATGAGAAATGAAATGGGAAATCGAAAATGGGAAGTTAATCTCTTTCTTTTTTAATGTTTATTATGTGAAATTGAAATTTTTCAGCGGCGATCATCGATATCCATGCTTTCTTTGGAAAACCTCCAGAGGCAAAGTTTAAGAAAGGGAATAAATTGATGATAATGATAGAAGTGATACATGACACCTAAAGAATGTTGTAAAACTAAATCTCATTCGTCTCATAAAAAAAGTAATAAGTTGAATTAAATTTGTTGAGATTAATGAAAGGGCTATTTAAATCGGCTTACTTTAAAACTGATAAATTGGAAGTTTCAAAGAGGTGAGCCGTTTCGTTCGACCCACAGTTGAATATACATTTTAAAAAAGTGTTCATTTCATTTTTCGGAAGTGAGAAAGGATTGCTTGGGTGGGAAATTTCGATCAGACAAAGCACTTGCCTTATTTTTCAAACCAACGACTGTTGCGAAACTGAAAAATAATATCAAAGAATAATTGTACTTTCACGACCGTAAGACGCACCAAGCAGATAACGAATCTATCTGGTTTCAAGTAGTGATTTGCGTGAATATTGATGGCGAGTGTGCAACAAACTCCTGAACTTCCAAACGTTTCCTGCAAACATGAGTAATCTCGTCCTTAAAGTGTGAACGAACAAGCATATTCCGCGCCAAACGTGGCTATTTTTATATTATCCTTCAGATATTTCGACAAATTACGGGAATTAATGTTGACGAACAACTAAACGTTCACTTTTTATGAACAAGCAAACATGTCCCCTCTTTTTTAACAACTACAAAACACTCTCTCGCCTTAAGTTAAAGGTAATGGACTTATAGCTTGAAAATAAGGGAATATCAATCGGTATATCTTCGATTATGAGCTATCAAATATTTTTGCTCGCGCGCGACTAGCTGGTCTGACGCTTCACGTTAACGAATATTCCCCAGCTAAAACTGGGGGATATCCGAGGATATCACCCAAAGGACACTCCCCAATTCTCAAACCTTACGGATACTACGGTAGCTCTTCGTTTTAAATTCAATTAAAGGTGAGAAGGGGGCTTTATGGTTGTAACAGAAGAAGGGAAATCTTGTTTTATTCATGAAGTCGTGCTACTTAGAAGCAGAAGCTGTACACAGTAAGCTGTTCGTAAACATTTTTTCGCGCGCGCTGCAAAACATGAAGAATAAGAAGCACGACAGCCTGTTCCGATATTTGTCTTTAGACATTATCTGTTCCTCGAAGCTCACACACTCTCGGAAAACTGTTCGCAGGATAAGTATCCGTACATATTTTCGCGCCAAATGGAGGCTATTGTTTATTTATTGAATTTTTAATTTCGAATGTTCTGATGATTCACTCAACTCCGGTTATCAGCTCATATTCCGAGTCAACTTTAACGGAAATGTATCGCAGCAACGCGATTGCAGAGCTGAAAAAAGGCTCCAAATATCAAAAATGTCCAGGATCTAATGAAATTGAATAAAACAATTATTTTTTGCGCATCTTGGCTATTTACCATCTCATATCCAACGCGCTTAATGAATAGTTGTCAACTATTCACTTCCGAGCAGTGCGCATGGAGTTTGAGCTGAAAATATTGCGATTGTTGCAGGAATAACTGAGTAAAAATCATACGTTTGTTCTATTTTGTCACTGTTCTAGTATATACTGAAACAACTATTCACCTTATTGTCAGCGGCTGGCGGTAGATATTAATATGACCACTTCGCGACTCGGTAAATATCCGCCACTAACCACCTTCAATTGACCAAACCCATGAGAAAATTTAAAATTAGAAGTTAAATCCACGAGTTATCTTGAGCCTTAGCTGGCCCTGCTGCCATCATCCTACTTCCCACCAAACAGTCTGGTGTGAGAGAACTTAAATTCCAATTCCTTTTCGCCAATCTTCTCTTAACTGACAGGAAGCCTGTTTGCAGGCTACTGCTGTCTTGAGATGGTTCATT